CTCTGATACACTTTTCAATGACAGACACGACCAAAATCAACATAATCAAATGCCGCCTTAAGGTACAGAAATACAAATATTGTCGGACGCCGAAATGTGTCCATGTTCTAGGACCTTACGAAGTGTGGATATGTGGTCTATACATACATGTATGGGTCTGAATGCGGCCTAGTTTACTCGAGTCTGCTTTTCAAGTTCCATAGCTAGGCGTCCAAGCACTATTGAAGCTAATATTTTAGACACTATATTAGACAAACTGATTCCTCTCTGACTGTCACAAGAGGACTTTTGTCCTTTGTTATAGACTGGAGTAATCAGTGATTGATACCAGTCGGATGAATTTATGACTAGTTCTTAAATTCGACCTAGGATCTCAGTCAATCTAATTGTTAAAACTGGACCATCAACCTGAATGGAAAATTGATGTAAATCCTCCACCTCTTAATGAGGTAGAAAAGGCAATAGCAAATCTAAGGCAAGCGAGAGCAGCGGTCCCTAATGGATTAACCTCCGAGATTTTTTAGGATGGCGGTTTTCGGTAACTTGCATTACTCATGGCGTATATGTGATATCTGTCTACTAACCAAAGATGAGTCTACTGCTCAGCAGTTCACTTCATGCAACTTTATGACTTTGAAACATGGTCACTAAGAGTAGATGATATTCTTAGGTTACTAATTTTCAATTATAGATGTCTTCGAAGTAATGATCAGGTATCCTGGGATTACCGAGTAAGCAATGCTGCCGTTAGGAAACGAGTATTAGGTAGGGATGGCAAACCAATAGATGAAGTATAGAAACTTCATCAGTTGAGTTTATTAGGACAAAGGTTCTGAATGTTAGTAAGCGTAGACTACTAGGTTAGAATCCACGAGACAAAAGTAACCGATGGTTAGAGACCTTGAACGGACATTGCTCTAAATCGTTTGCAATGGCGCACGTGCATCCATTCTTTGTTTTTTCTCCAATTCTAATCCTCTGAATTCCTCATCACCTCTACCTTTCTCTTTTTAAATTTATTTCACCGAATCATACTTCTTGAAAAGTTTCTCGAAACTCTAACCTCTCCATTATCGCTAATAATTCCACTACCTCGACTACTATGGGGTCCGAATTAACAATTTGATCTCTGTGGTATTGAGGTACGTCAACTTGAGAACTGATGTAAGCAGATACAAAGTTCTACATTCTGCATTGTAGATCACTGACTAACTTCAAATGACTAAACGCTTACTTGGTTTTACATTTATATATTCATTTATAATTATATAATACAAGATATCATTATCATTTGAATATGATATCATATATGTAAAAATAGATAATAAGTGCGCAAACAGATCAAGGAGAAACTATAAAAAAAAGAAGAAAATACAATGATCTCACATTATTCTGCTTCAATTGTTATTACAGCTTTATTTTAATTCATAAATGACGTTGGAAAATGTAATATATTTGCTGATGAATAAAAAAGAAATAAGGTGCTTATTAAATTGATTCATGAAAGGCATTGGAAAATCTTTCAGCACTTTTATCATCTTCATTTTCTCTTATTAAACATTCTTAAATATATTATACTATTGTCATAGTGTATATATAATTCGGTTTTTTGTTGAAAGAAAACAAACTAAGGCGCTGTTTCTAGATGAGAAACAGTCAATTTGAAATTGATCAAATATTCTGATTCAGGACAAAAGATTATTATTTCTGAATCAACAACTCACGTTGAATTGAATCAATTTTTTTTTCGTAGTCAATCAAAAACAAAAGAAAAACATATAGCAGGACATTTTATTTATTGATTGATTCAGTTTCACATCAACATGAAGAACTGCAAAGATAGATAGATAGATACACGATCAAATAAGTTTACAGTAGTAGTAAATAAAAAAACATCCTTCAAACCAATTTACCTAAAAAAAATTGTTTAGCATGAAAGTCATGTCTGCAATGCAAAAAATAAAGAAAATCCTTTCTAATGATATATGAATTCAAATGAAAATCAACTCAAAGAAGTAATGAACTTGTTCTTTTTGTTGATATTATATAAGAGGGCATTAAACAACACAACAATCACAACAACAACAGCAACAACAACTGCATCAAGACTTGACAATTGAAAATCAATCAAGAGCAAGAGAATGGTAAACAAACGATTGATTGATTATATAAATATTATTAAATGATGACTATAAAACAAGGGTAGATGAGATACAACGAATTCAAAACAAAAATAATCATAATAGCAATAATTAAAATAGTTTTTCCATGAAATAATACCAATATATATTAGTAGTTTTTTTTTTAATGAATAATGATAATAATCAATGAAAATAAGCACATAAATGTATATATAGAAACAATAAAAGTAGAGAAAAAAGAAAAACAAAAAACAAAAGTGTAAACACTAACAGTGTAATGAATGAATGAATTTTGAAATAAGAAAGAAAAAAAATTACTTCAACATATCAGTCTGTAATGAGTGTAGTGATAAATATATGCCTGATGTAAAATATGCATCATAATTGTTCAATTCATGACAAATAGATAAAGAGATAGGATAGAATAGAATACAAAAAAGAAAGGCGATAAATAAAAGTTTGTTAAATATGAAAAAAAAATGTGATTATTAGCACATTAGCACAGTATTGATCATCATCATCAATCATCATCGTACAAGAATAATTATTTCTTTAAATGGTCGAATTCGACTAGAATCTGTGGTAGGATAGGCTTTTTTTCGGAGAAAGTGTTACTTTATTACTACCCGGTGAAACGGAACCACTAGTTCGACTGGCTAACACAGAATTTAATAGCAAACGTAATTCTTGTGTTAAAGTTTCAAAACGATAAGCAACACGAATATTGGGTAAATTACTTCGAGTGATATCATTACCCCATAACACCTTCTTGTGTATAATTAGGTCCAAGCCAATGAGATTTGATCTGTAGGAGAATAAGAAATTAGGAAATAAAATAATTAAACTGTTAACCAATCAGTGTATTTATTTATAAACAAAGCAGAAAATCGCACAAATCTGTGTCGGTGTAAATTCCCATACTATATTGGCTCTTCTTACGCTTGTTACCCGTCGTTGAGCCAAGATCATCAACCAGTAATCTATAACCTACTCTGTTCTACACTTTCCTTTACAGCGTTACTATTCATTCTTTCGATGCTTGCCAGAGATTTCCAGCTCAATGTAGTTCGTTAATGTGCCTCTTTTCCATTTGCCCCGAAGATACCACGTTGCAACTTGATTCCTGACGCTCTTGAAGATTTTCACAATGTATGTCCTATCAACCTCCAGTGTCTTTTCCTAATTTCTTCCTCATCTGAAACCTGGTTTGTTATCTGCTACAGTATATTTTTGGTGACGCTGTCTAGCCAGTAGTCCTGAAGTATCTTGTGTAGACAACTGTTTATAAATACGTGTACATTTGTGATGATAGATATTTTTTATTTAAATACTATTTTGGAAACATAATTGTAGGTACAATGGGTACTGCTCATGTGCGTAAACTGAAGAATGTGGTTTTATTGTGTAAATCTCCGAGCCTGTTGACCTACAGGGTCTAGTCCATAAAATAGTGGAGCAACGTAAGAAGACCAAGTCCAATAAAAGTTGGCGAACAACAACAAACGCATACGCCGTTCGTTTGCTCAAAATCCTGGAGCTTAGGTGATGCACCGGAAATTGGATTCGGGGTTAGCCAACTACTCTAGGCAGAACCTCCGTACCCATCAAGTCATTTTAAGCCATAGTCATCTATGAACAGCATTTC